TCTTAATACTTGCTAAACACAGAAGCACTCATTAACCTTCTATTGCTGCATGTTCCACTGATTTGCAAAAAAGAAATTGTATGGATGTGAATTAGAATCAGTTAGAGATATGAGAAATTCATAGAAGCTCATTCTGATATGCTTTTGTTTTAGAGTGATTAGCTTTTTGGAATATCGTACTTGGCTTTTTGTTGCAACTAACCATTGTAGTTTTCAAGGACTAGCAATTATGGACAAATTGTGGAGATGTAAATGCAAGAAACTTGGCCCCCTTTGTTTGCAACTAAAGGCCTAATAGTATGGTTCAAGAAGTCGATGGCTTTTTATGTTTTATAAGACATGCCGGAGAAGAATCTAACCTTCTTTATCCGGATCTTGAGGAACTACATATATTTGGCCTTCTCACTAGTATTTGTCGAGTTAATGTGCAGCTTCTTTGTTGCATCATGAACTGGAGTTGTCAAGTACCATGGCCCTAGACCATGCGCAAGGCCTATCTTTCAGCATGCGTTTGAACTCGGATCCACTGTTTGCGCAATCGCAATCAAATACAATAAAATCTTTGTTGATGCTTTTTGGAATAGCAGAAAGTAAGAACGCTCTTCTGGAAGTTCCAACTTTATCTGTATTTATTTTTTATTTTTCTTTCGTTATGTCGTGCCATATTGTTCTCTGACTAGAGGATCCATTTCCTCCCTGGTAAATTTATTGCATTTCTCTGCAATTATTAGCATTATTCTTCAAGCTGGCCTTAAGAACACCGGGAAGTTGAGAGCTTTACCATGTGTAAAGCCTGTAACTGATTCTACTGGAACGATTTAAGAGTAAGATAATGACACTCAAGTACAATCGTAGGGAAAAAAAATGGTATTGAAAATGGTATTTATGTGGCTAGAAATGTGCTTATTTCAAGAATCGTTTCTAGGATTTTATATATGATTCATTCTGTAAATAGTTTAATTTGATGAACAAAAACTTGCATTGTGTAAACAGTTTTTCTAATGCATCTGGGCACCCATTTTGCAGACAATCCTTCACAACAAATCTATTGCAGCTCATGACATCATGGGCTGTGGTGTGCGATGTTTGGTACTTAAAACCCCAAAATATGAAGCCAGGAGAAACACCTATTGAATTCGCTGACTTGAAGTACACGGACTTTTACTAAAAGCGCCTCTAATATTTTTCAAGATCTACAAGCTGGTAAAATTTTGTTCTTTTTCTTGTACTTTGCATGCAGGGTGAGGAACATCATCTCTGTTCGTGCAGGCCATAAAATGGTTCCATGGGATGGATATTTGAAATACTCTCGACCTAGACCAAAACATAGGAAACGCAAATAAGTATAAATTTTGACCTTTTCTTTTTAAAGTTGTTATCATGTTCATGACTTCTAGTAGTATTTCAGTATTTGCATCGCGAAATTTTGATTTTAATTTACCAAAACGTCATTGGATACGAGTCCATTGTTCTAAAGTATGCAACTTTTTAAATTTGAAACTTTTAGTTTGTTTGATTTACGGGTTTATTCAAAAAGGGTCAAGTTTAGGAGAAAACCGTAAAAAATGAAAAACTAAGGAACACCCTGGTAACCGTTCATTTGGACGATATGCATATGTCCATAACATGCACACGCGCATAAAAACCAAGAAACAACTTCAATTACTTTTATGCACATGTGCATTCCGTCCAGATGAATGATTACCAAAATGTTCCTCAATTTTTCAATTTTTTTCTCTATTCAAAAATTATCCTATAAATGTTTACTCTTTTTTTATCTTATTAAAAGTGAAAACTGCAATAATTTTTTATTCTTCGAGGGTCCATGAATATATGATAATCTTGTTGGAATCTAGAATCACTTACTTGCTCTTAGGGAATGGGTTGGGTTGTAAATGAGTTGGGTTGGATGGGTTGAGACCATTTGAACAATCCAATCCAACTTGACCCAAGTATCCAACTTCTTTGGTTTGGAAAATAATAACCCATTCAACCCTCTTTAAATTTGTAAATCAACCCAACCCATTACATGTCGGTTTGGGTTGGACGGTTTTAAAAATATTTAAAAAGATTAGTGGTTGATATTTAAACACTAAAAAGTTTGTCTAATTGTCAAAACACATATTATGACGAAAACATTGAATTAAAATGATACTATCAATCAACGACCGTTTTCTACTTCTCCGATTCAATCAGCGATGTTTTTCTACTTCTCTGACTCTGATTTTGTCTTACCTTTGAGTTTGTTCATGTTGTTTACGGTTAAAAACAAAAGTTAGATTCACTGGAGTATTTGATTAGTAAGAGTCTAGAAAGACTACTTAATGGGCTAGAATATTAAATTGTTAATGGATTGTCATTCATGTGAGTACCTATTTGTGCATGTTAGTAGACTTTTGATAATTAATAATATGAATATTTTGATTATCATAATTTTGTTGGGTTTGGGAGTTCGGTTAGGTTTGACATCGCTCTAAACCGTAACCTATCCTACCCTCCTCTCATCGGTTTGTATATTTTATAAACCAATTAAACTGCGGGTTAGATTGGGTTGGTTTATATTTTGGGTTGGAATTTGAATAAACTTTTTGTGAACTCTTATTGCTCATAATTGTAATTACAAATAAATTGATGGGTTGGGAAGATCTCTTCATTTTGTCATTTTAGATGACGTTTATATTTTAGTATATATAGTTACTAGTTGAACATATCTCTCACACAGTATATATGTAATATAGTATTTTCATCATAACTTACCATATTATTCATCCGGAATAGAGATCTCTCGTCTTCAAATCCCATAATCCCTTTTTATCCCATCAATCACTTGAAGACACATAATTAATTCATTTAACATGACTTTATCTGATTTATGTTTTCATTCTCTCTACCTCTTGAGGAATTCCTCTGAATATTTTCCTTTTCCATATAAAACTACTTGTTTGTTATTGCAAAAAATTGGTTGTGGGTTTGTGTTCAAATTTTTGTATGTATGTATCAACAATTTGCATTTGAAATGGTGCAGGCAGCAAAGCTTTGCAGAGTCGGTGTTGCGTCGATTGGAAGACAAATAGACGTTAAAATGAGGATGCCATGTTAAATAAAACCGTTTGATTGTTAGTTAAATATTTAAGTTATTCTTTAATTGCGAAGAACTAGATCAAAATATATATGAAAATTGAAACCCTTTTTCGTCTAAGGATGTCTAATAAGGATTATAACTTTTTTTTTAAAGAAATCCGAAGTGAAAGTTAGAGTTATTTATCCATTACAATTATTTATGATGATCAGACTGTGTTGATTGTACTTGTAAGATTCAATTATTTCAACATATGAGTCATTTTGCATATATTTAGAGCGGGGAAGATTTTTGTTGTCTTTGTTTGGTGATGGACTCAACTTCGCTTGGACAATTCATCTCTTTTATTCAGATTTACATTCAATGATTGTTTTTCAGGAGGAGGATGGTACTTGTGACAAATTTTATTAATCACAAAACACGTATACGTAGCAAATCAAACAGAACCAGTAAATTATATTTGAGTAGTGGGGTCTACGAAGGGAGGGATGTATGTCGACCAAACTTTTTTCTAACAAAACTGTATGTTGGACCAAACAAATGGAAACAAACATATGGTTTTGTTTTAAGAATATATACATATGTTTTTGTACGACAATCCATGTTTTATTTTTGGGGTTGATTTAATAATGTTTTTATTTAATAATATATGAGAATAGGATTATTTTATTTTAACTTGATTAAAAAGAGAATGCTAATAAGATAATGTAATGGTAATTGGTAAATGGTTGGTCAACGTCAAAGTCAAAAAGTCTTGCTTGCATTTGGACTGAGAAAAGTCTTTGTCCACCTCCTTTTAACAAGATTATTAGATTAAAATAAAAATAAAAAAATATTTAAACTTAATACATATGATATGATATGATATAGGGTTAGGTTTTGGTTAAGGCTATACGAAATGTAAAATTAAGTAAGTATCTAAATAACCATTTATTTATATAGTAATTTTATGTACGTAAAACATACTCCATTATTTTCATGCACGAATCATTAATGTGTTATATTATTACTTATAAAACAATTGAGGAAGAAGTAGAATATGTTGACCGAGAAGGTTTTAAATGCATCCACTCCCGTCACATTGTTGACTAATACCATCAATTTTTTGTCATACAAAACTCTTTAATTTGATTAGTCACAACATGGACTAATACTTCCAAATACATGTTTGAAATTATATTTATTTTCCGAAAAATATGTGTTCAACTTTCTTTTGCTTTATGTTGGAAAAATTGGGGTTTTCCATTTTGGAGCATAATATTTGAAACTTAAATAACCTCAATTTATATAGATTATTGTAGTTTGATATTAACCTCCATAATATCTTCGTTTCGAGACATTGAACGTCAAAAACAGACTTCTTATAAATAAGAAATTAATCAACAAAGTAAGGTATTAGAAGAGAATGTAAAGTGAGTAAATGGCTATTTAAGTCATCCCACATAGAAGGAAGAGTAAAAAGAAAGAAGGTCTGTAAGTGGAAATAATTCATGGGATTTGTAAGACTTATAGCATCATGGCTCTCTCTTGCGTGCGCAAGGATGCAAATGTGAACCGCAGTCTCTTCCTTTTCTTATTGTTGTGTTAACTACCTACTGTCAAGGTAATATCTGTGTTAAATACAGGCCTTAACATGTTTTAGTACTTCATTCGTTCTTTTCATATGTTATCTTAACTTTATTCCTACACTACATAACTTTCAGCTCTCATTTATTTTATGAATTACGATACATAAATACTAACCATATCATCCTCGATTAAGACAATATATAAAGTTGTTTTTTAATTATGTGTCTGTCTATCTTATTATATGAATATCACATAATTAGGTATATTATATAATTTATGAAGCAGACGTCGTCTGTTGGGACGGAGTCAACGTTTTCCCATTTCAATTTTCCACTCCTCCTCTTTCCTTCCGCTTCCACTTCCTCTTCCTCTTCCGCCATTAATAATCCTTCCAAATCCTCTCATTCTACCCACACAGTTTCCTTTTTCGATATGGGGTTTCCCATCCTTACTCTCTCCTTCTTCTTACTCATCATCTCTTCTCTCTTCTCCCTTCAATCAGCTCAACAAACCTTAGGTTTCCGATGCACCAACACCTCCACCTCCACCTGCTACTCCCTCATCGACTACCAGCTTCCAAACACCACCACCCTCTCCTCCGTCCAAACCCTCTTCGAAATCAAAAACCTCCGCATCCTCCTCGCCGCGAACGATCTCCCCACCAACATCTCACAGAACCAGAACTTCCCTGCTTCCTCTATCCTCAAAATCCCCTTCCCTTGCTCCTGCCGTAACGGCACCGGAATCTCCAACCGCCGCCCCAACTACGTCGTCCTTCCTAACGACACCCTATTCCATATCGCCGCCGAGGTATTCTCCAGAGTGGTGACGTTCCCGCAGATCCAGCTTGTTAATAACATACCCAATGCGGATTTGATAATGGTGGGTCAGAGGTTGTGGATCCCATTGCCGTGTAGCTGTGATGATGTGGAGGGGCAGGCGGTGGTGCACTATGGACATTTGGTGCAAGCGGGGAGTACGGTGAGTGGGATTGCAGAGCAGTTTAATACCACGGAGAGCACGTTGCTGAATCTGAATGGGATGACGAGTCCTTCACAATTGCAAGCCAGTTCAATTCTTGATGTTCCTCTGAAAGGTAATAATGCGATTTTGATTCATCTGTTTTTATTCATTGTGATGTGAATACGAATTTGTCAAGGAAAAGGGCCATGAATTGATGCTTGCTTATTTGCTTCTGATTTTGATGATTAATTTAATATTTCATCAATCTTTTTCATGATTCTTAGGAGAAAGGTGTTGAAATAATTTATGATATCAAATATCATTTTGGAATGAGCACATAAAATAATTAAAAACCATCCACCAAACCAAACCAAACCGGGTTGAGATGTTTCATTTATCCAAGTATTGGTGTTGATTTTGATTTTGATGTCCAGGATTTCTTTTTTGTCATCATTAAAATATCCACGTTCAAAATTGAAGTGGGTAATTTCCCAATTGTGGTTTTTCTAATCATTAATTGATATGACTAAAATACCCTTTACATCCAACCACCTAATACTAATAGCATCATAATTTTCATTTCGTAAAGTCGTATGCTTTCATTTATTTTTGTAATTGTGATTCATATATTAATTGGAGGGCATTTCTGTACTTTTATCAACTCATCCCACATAGATAAGAAAAACTTCCACCATCGTCATGGTTTAAAGTTAGGATTCAAAGTTATTAGACCAACCTATTGCTTTGTGCTATGTGGTGTTACAAAAAAACCCACCTAGAATGTAAGGTTTACACGTATGCTGAATTTAATTTTTTTTAAGAAACAGAGAGATTGTTTCGGGACGAAACATATATGTAGATATTGTAAAATTTGTAGTCATTTTTAATCACCCAAAAATGCTAATGTTTCTTATGATTCTTTTTAACAGTTTGTACATCCATGGTGACAAGCAACTCTACAGACTACCCTTTACTTGTCCCAAATGGTACTTCCATTTATACCGCTAACAATTGTGTCCGATGCAAATGCAATGCTGCCAACAACTGGATGTAAGTCGAGTCGACATGCCAAACTCGAATCATTTTCCGTCAACTGTTGTCCAATTCTTATGGTCGTTATTTCAGATTGCAATGTGAGTCATCGGGGCTTACTTTGCCACGAGGACAAACTTGTCCTTTGACCCTATGTGAAGGCACCTCTGTCAGTTTGGGCAACATTACTTCAGGTCCTGGTTGCAACCGGTCAAGATGTGTGTACACTGGTTACGCGGATGGCCGCATCCACACTGCTATCAACCAAGAATCTACTTGTCCAGGTAATGATATTAAGTAAATTGTTCGACTTTTTTGTCAAATATCTAAAATAGCCTTCGTTTCGTTAGGAACAAATATTAGAACATGATAGTTGAAAATTCATACATCAATTTGTTTATAATGATAACGATTGCCAAACAAGTAACTTTTAATTTGGAACATTTTCAAGAAAAATGATAGGTGTTGGAGTCTACATCGGTTATATTTGAATCGTTTGTTCATGTTGTATAACGTATTACGATGCCCAAAAAGTGTTGTATAACAACTTTAGATATGACACTTTATTTGTAAATGAATTCAGTCTATTAGGACATCTTGACGTCCTATAAATTCAAATTAGTTGTAGTGAGACATGGGAAAGTGAAGGGTTTGGGACGATTTGTGCATGTCTATTGTCTAGTCCCCTCACATGACATGGGTTTATGTAATTGTAATTGTAATTGTATATGTAATGAAATTGAAAGTTGAATGGTGGTGTGAACAGAGGGGAATAACAACGACACGCCAGGAAGTGGGTGGAAAGATCGGAGACTAAGCTTTGTTGTGGGTGCATCATTGATGGCTGTCCATCTTCTGAGCATGTAGAGATTGATGAGATTTAGTTGTGGTATTATGTTTTATAATGATGTCATTTTGGTTTTATGTTTTGTATAATGTAATGGGACTGATGGTATTGGTATGGTATTAATATGAAAACAAAACCATTTATTAACATAAATTAGAATCATATAAATATTTTTATATTTTTTATTTTAATATATATAATCTTTGAAAACAAATTCAAAAAAAATAGAGATTGATTTGAGTTATGAATGGAGACATACTTATATATATATAATCATTTCATTTGAATAAAATGTTACATAAAATGAAGAGGGTCATTTGAACAACATGGCAAGTCTTGTCTTATTATGATGGTATCAAGAATTATGGGAATAACCATGAAAGTGGTGCTTGATTGGTTTGAGTTTAGTTCCAAAAGTCAAAAAGTATCAAGAGATCCAAGGTTTAAATTAAGGAGGAATAGAAATCCCTTTATGGTTCATATACGGTGATTCCGGACTATCTGTAAAGCAGGTGGTCGTCCTGGGATTAGTCGGTTTTCATAGCGGGTTGGATATCCAGGTTAATAAAAAAAAAAAAATTATGGGAATTCAAATTAAAAAATATATATATATATATATATATATATATATATATAAGAATTGATTAAAATCTTTATCATTTTTAATAGAAAATAATTGATGTATAATATATATATATATATATATATATATATATTCGAATTGAAGCTTGTACCGTACAATCGGCTAATGCAGTGGCTTACGGGAGGAGATTAGAATGGCGATTCCCCCGGTATTGAAGCAAAAACCGTCGTCAATCATATTCATATTCATATATCCACGCCGGAGTTTTTTTAACACTATCAACGCCTTTCTTAACATCCCTCAAATTCAAACACCAAACCTTCATTCATCATCATCTTCGTCTTCAATTAGGTCTATCATTTTCTATTTTCATTCTCTCTTGCTTATACTGCCTCTGAATTCACTCTAATCTCGGTGACTCTTTTTGTTTTTGTTTTTGTTTTTGTTCTTGTTCTTGTCCTTGTTCTTGAACACACAGATAATCATATGCACATACATATGCTGCAAAATCTATTTTCTATGCTAATTTGGTTCAGTTCCTTCTTAATCTTTTTACCCACACAGTCTTTCCTATTCTCTATGTTTCTTCTTTATCGGCAAAAAGTTTTACTTTTTTCAATCGTTTTTCCATGGGTGGTATTTGTTATAGTACGTTTCTTGAAAATTTAGAAAAAAGAATCCATACTCGATTGTGTTAAATTGGTTGATTGTAGTTAAGGTGTTTGATGATATGCCACCTTCTGTTTATTGTATTTGTATGGAAGTTAGATTGGATAGATGATGCACATCCATCAATGTCTCCTTTGTTTATTATTCTTGTATGTAACATAAGATGCAGATGACAAAGGATTTCTGGTTTCCACTGTAGATTCTGAGTCAGTATGATTGAATTTTTTGTCTTCCATGATTGTATTTGTGATTTTAGTCTTACTTTTTATATTCTGATATACCTACTCCTCCTTTGGTAACTTCAGCATGGAAAAGGCAGTCATGCATTGACGCATGCCAAATTTTGTAACTTTGTGAAGTTGGTTCCTCTACTCCACTCTAGGGTTATTGGTGGATGATTTCATGTGCTCTAAATCTGACAAAATTTTGTTTTAATATTATACACAGATACCTAATTTGATAAATCTATTTTAAGGGCAATGGCTTCTTGTAAACTGAATGATGCTGCTGTATATAATGGATTGGCAACTGAAAGTGGTGAATGGGCCAAAACAAAGTTGAAGAAAGGATCTTTTCCAGAACAACTTTCGGTCCAAGTTCGTGATTCATTTCGATCAAACAACTCGAAGAGGTTGAGATATGCAGATGTTGTAGGACATTGTTGCCCAGTTTCATCAAAGATGATGTTATATTCTTCAGTTATACGTAAGAGGAGACGTATTTCTTCTGCAGTGCAACACCTGATAAACTCAGATTGTAGTGTGCGTTCTTCTGAACTGGAAGAGAGTTTTGTCACAGAAGAGGAGAATGATGTCTCAAATACAAGACAAGTGTATCCGTAAGTCATCAAATTTACTTTTATCTTATTATGTTTTCGCATTATATGGTCGCCGATATATTTCTTGAGTCATCAAAATCCTGTTATTTCTTCCCTCGCTGTTCATAGATAGAGTCTAGCTAGATTATCTTGATTATGACCCTTTTTAAAAACATCAGTGTATTGATTGATTGGTATTAGTTCTAAATTATTTGCACTTTTGTATACAGGGACTTGATGGATATTGGTTCAACAGAGGAACCAGAAATGATTGAGAATTCGCGATCTCAAAATATCAAACGTGAGCTCGTTGCACTTTCATTACCGGCACTTGCTGGGCAAGCTATTGAACCTATGGCCCTACTAATGGAGACGGCTTATATTGGTAGATTAGGTAAGGTGGTTTGATATTAATTTATAGTAAATCTAACTGATGTTGATTTTTGTGGTTCACTCTTCAGGTTCTCTATTTTCTTCCTTTTTTCTTTATCTTTTTATGTTCGCTATAGTATGATATGATATTGACAACTATGAGTGTCATTCTCAGGCCCTGTACAGTTGGCTTCTGCTGGAGTTTCGATATCAATCTTCAACATTGTTTCCAAGCTATTTAACATTCCTCTCCTCAGTGTTGCAACTTCTTTTGTGGCTGAGGATATTGCGAAGAACTCCCTTAGAAGTTCCAGTCAAGGTGGAGAAAACTACCTTCTTATATGATTTGAAAGGAAAAATTACCACATGATATTGAATTTTACTTTGTGTCATGGCACAGAGGAGAATTCTGAGGAAGCAAATGGCAATGGCAAAGCTTTCGTTGACATAGCAGAAAGGAAACAACTAGCTTCCGTCTCTACAGCTTTGCTTTTGGCTGTTGGCATCGGTATCTTTGAAGGTTTGGCTTTGTATTTTGGATCAGGGGTGTTTCTTAATCTGATGGGTATATCATCGGTAAGCTTTAGATCAACTGAACTTCATTTTTGAGGTCAAACAAACTTGTTTCAATTTCAAATCGATATGCATTTTTCATGATTTTAAGTAACTACATCGAACAGGGTTCTTCTATGCACGCCCTGGCTCAACAATTTCTATCTCTTAGAGCCCTTGGTGCTCCTGCAGTTGTGGTCTCTCTGGCTCTTCAAGGCGTTTTTCGTGGTTTTAAGGACACAAGAACTCCTGTATTATGTCTAGGCAAGTTTTTGGTATCTTTTTTGTTTATAGTTAAACTTGATAATTGTCTTTTATTGGTTGATATTTTTGTTGTTGTGCAGGCATCGGCAATTGTTTGGCTATCTTTTTGTTTCCCCTACTTATGTACTACTTCAAGTTAGGTGTAACCGGAGCTGCCATTTCTACTGTTATCTCACAGTATGTCAACCTCTTTTACGAAATACTTGTATCATGTGAAAAAGTGTTCTTCGCAGCCACCATGTAGAGCGATTGTTGCTGAAAATTTATGAAATGATTATTTGCTCCTTTCACTTGATTTTATTACATTTCTTGAAGTGTTCAAGTTTTATATTGTTGTTTTCAGATACATGATCACCTTTTTATTGATATGGCACCTTAATAAAAGAGCTGTGTTACTGCCTCCAAGGCTTGGAGCACTACAATTTGGTGGCTATATGAAATCTGGTGAGTGACATTCTTCATTAGCATTTTTTTCTTGGCATATCATAAGTATATATATAAGTTAGCAAGAAATGTTTTTTTGTTCAACTTGATAGTTTTCTTTCGTTCTTGATTTGTTTTGACGTACTTACAGGACTTCTCCCACATATTAACAAGACTTTTCACATATCCATTTTATCAATATTTTGTGATTAATTAATGCACGAAAAGGAACTTTTGGTTTGAAACTTCACGAAAAGCAACTGTTTTGCATTTCTTGGAATCGCCAAATCCCGTAATTCATGTATCACTCATTGGTACTCTTTCAGGTGGTTTTCTTCTTGGAAGGACTCTTGCGGTACTTACAACCACAACCCTGGGGACGTCAATGGCTGCTCGGCAAGGTCCTATAGCTATGGCTGCTCACCAGATATGTTTACAAGTATGGTTGGCTGTTTCTCTTATAACAGATGCACTGGCAGCATCGGGTCAGGTACAAGATTCTAGTTTTTGGTTAACCATCCAAGTTGGTGATGATGCATTACAGAATTATGGTTTTACAGCTCAATTTGTGCAAAAACGCTTCTTGTTACTCATTCATAATTATAATCTACCACATAAGTTTGACATATAGTGACCACATAGGAACTCTTTTGTCTATGAAAATTGCAACATTTGAATAAAGGGTCATTGGCCCAACGGTATCCGGGTATCCCCCGAGGAGGTCGAAGGTTTCAAACTTCACCAAAAGTGAGAAGTGTGTGTGAGTATTTGCTGCATATAAATATTATATACTTCAGAGTAGAGGTCAGGTCTACGTGCATCCCACCCTGCTAGACCGTACTTTCAAGTGGGATTTACCAAGTCATTTTGGTTTGGTTTTTTTTATATTGAATACTTCATAATAAGTTGCAACATTTCACTTCGCAGTTCGCACATAGTTTAAGAAAAATGTTTTACTATTTGTCATATATCTAAACTACCCTTCCATCGGAGAATAAATAAATCTTGGTGATCCAGAACAAAATCATCAATCCATTTGTGTTGACTATAGTTTTGTTTTGTTTTGTTTTAGGCATTGATTGCTAGTTCAGTTTCAAAAGGGGATTATAGATCTGTGAAGGATATCACACACTTTGTTTTAAAGGTTAGTTATAAGCATCTACCATCTACCAAAGTTTCTTTATGGATGACCATGAAAACCTCATCCAAAAGGTGAGTAAACTTCAGGGCCCAATGGGATCAGTCGAGGTGCACGCAAGCTGGCTTGGACACTCACGGTTATCCAAAAAGAAAAAAAAATGGGACTCAAGTTTGTACCTCGCTAGGTTATCCTCACCAAAGTTAACGTTGATTTTTCTCTCTGTTTGGCAGATTGGTTTCGTGACAGGTGTTTCTTTGGCTGCAATATTGGGCATATCGTTCGGTTCTATAGCCACATTGTTCACAAAAGACGTTGAAGTATTGAGGATTGCTAGAACTGGGGTTCTGGTAAAATCTTTATACCCTTTTTGTAGTTCCTTTTTAAATTTTATGGCACATTTTCATTACGTTTCTTATGCCTTTTTTTGTTCAAAAGTTTGTGAGCGCTAGTCAGCCTTTGAATGCTTTGGCTTTTATCGTGGACGGTTTGCATTATGGAGTTTCAGACTTCCCTTATGCAGCTTATTCCATGGTATGCTTCGAGACTATAATGACTATAACACATGAATCTTATGTTGACCTTCAATTAATGGTTCGGAAATGAACTGCAGATGTCTGTCGGAATTTTATCATCTGCATTTCTTTTCTATGTTCCTTCGACTTTCGGTCTTTATGGTGTTTGGTCGGGTTTGACTCTCTTCATGGGATTGCGGATGGTGGCAGGGTTTATCAGGTTATCTTTACGGACCAAAACGATGAATTTGACACTTTGTAACAATTGGGTAATTTTAACTACAATCTTCCTGTTTCTTTTATAGATTGTTAACCAAGAATGGGCCCTGGTGGTTTCTGCATCAAGATTTGAATAGAGTTAAGGTTAGTGACTCCTTCATGAAAGTTTATCTTCTTTGGTTGAAATGTTGCATTTGCATATTTTGGTCTAATTTTTTTTGAGCATTTTACTTTTGCTTTCTTTTTTTCAGCTTGCTCGTTAGACGGGATCCGGAGATAATACTGATCTGATTACAGAACACAGTCTTGACCGCTGATATACGTACTGACTGTAGGTTTGTCCATTTGCCGTTTTTATTCGTTCATTTTGGCGTCTTTGTGGTTTAGCGGTTTTTCGCGCATTGAAGGTGTTTGGATGTGGCATTTGAAGCAACTTGTTTCAAAAGGTGGAGGGGAGATTATGTATTTTGATGTTAATAATCGTAGATAGACTATCTTGATGTTCATAATTGGAGATGAGCCTACGTTTTTATGTTGTTTTTTTATTTATGAAAATGGGATTATAATCTGAAGTTGTAACAAACTATGGTTCCTAGGTAAAAGAAATAGTAGGCTTGCTTCTTAAGCAAAACACACAGCCCACTAACATTAGACTCGGATGAGAAAAATGCATTTTTTTTTAACTATCTATGTAAAATAAAATCCTAAAATCTGTCACAACTCTTTCAACCACTTACTGCACTTCCATCCGTGTATCAAATGCACCTTAAGGTTGTGTTTGCTACATGAGACTCAACATGACAGGAAAAAAAAAACTCACCGTTTCATGTTTGGTACAAAATGGAACAAAATTAAAACTCGTCATTCTACATTTTACATGACATGAGACAACAAGAACTTATTGTTTCACATTTCGCATAACATGGGACAAGGATAGAAATTGGATGAAACAAAAATGTTTTTTTGGTTCCACCATAATAGAAGAAACAAGATGGGTCAACAAAAAAAATTACCTCCATCCTCATTTAATATAAGCCTACCATAGTATTTGCTTTGATGGTCAACCCCTCTATAGCCACCACCGACCATCAACTACCACCAACCACCATTTCCACGTCCACAACCACCACATCCACTATCACCACCACCACCAACCACCTCTACCTCCGCCACAATCACCACCAATAAACACCATATAAAATCATTAAACAAATTTAGGGCAACTTGTCCAACTCTGTTCGATCCTAGTCATGTCAAACACCAAATATATATCTAACCTGTCTGGTGTAAACTGAATGCCATCTATGGGGTATTTGTTTACTTTTTAATCATTTAATTAAATGACAGTCTCTAAATCATTAAGAAGTAAATCTTGTTTGACAAAAAAAAAGTCTACGTCTTCATGGTTCTTAAACCTTCTAAATAGTTTTGTATCTTGGACCTACCTTGATCATTCAATGTCCTAATTTCCTTCTAAACAATTATATTTCATTTTGCACTGTATCATAATTGTCTTTTAATCATTTTGAACCAAACCATTTTTGCAACTGTCAAACAACTCAGTCAGAAAAAAGGAAATATAACAAACTGCATTTAGCTTCAAGTAGAATAAATCTTCAACTTTGCTACAATGTTTCCTCGATGTAACTTTCTTTCTGTCGTTCAAATAAATTATATGACAATGTAAGCGTGAGGTCACAATTCCTTATTCCCGCCCCAAAATGTCATGTTATTCACAAGGAAATCAATTCCCGAATACAATCTCCGAAAAAAACAAATACGTACCGATGAAAGGATCTATCGGGTTGGAAAAAGAAAGCGGGAAGCTCATTCAAGATTAGCAATGACAGCATCGACGACTTCTTGGGTGGTGCTCTTCCCACCAAGATCTTTCGTTCGGGTCTTTCCTTCAGAAATTACACGTTTCACAGCCGTCTCTAGTCGGTCTGCAAACGAAGGGAATTGAAGATGTCTGAGCATCATGGCAGATGAGAGAAGCAAAGCCACTGGATTCGCTGTCCTTTGATCAACTATTTTCTGTTTTCCGACATTTCCTGCTGATGCACCTTGCTCGAACACCGCATGATCAGCCCCCACATTACCTGCAATACATGCACTCCCACTTATTGTTGTATGAATGCATCCGTATAAAACAAAAAGAAGGCAGATTGCATGCCACTGGTACCATTTCCATATTTTCAGTTTGAAAGATGGGATTATGGATTCATGTGCGTTGGTACACGGAGAGGACCGAGGTAGGCGGGTGAAAGAATTGTGAAACGTTTTAGGGTTTTAATTTGACATGGGTAGTTTAGTAATTTACCAATCTTGTCTTTTCCTACTGATATTTTGTTCCACCTAAATTGGTGTTTTTTTGTCCCTTCATTCTTGTCCTATCTCGGTCTAATGTCGCACCAAACTGCCTTGCATACCAAATGCACCTCGGAAGAACAAGACATGGAATAGATTAAAAGTTTAGGCAGCACAAACCTCCAGGCATTACACCAGTGCCCCCAGCAATACCAGCAGCAGTATTTGCCACCAAATTTCCGTAAAGGTTAGGAGTCACCTACAAAATAAGATCTTTTATCAAAAGTATGTAATAGGAAGGAAAACTTTTTAAATACATATCTACTAGACTTTGACTAACGTAATAAAGTCAAACTCCGGAGTTCACCAAGTAGACAAATTATGTTTCATTATGATGGAACAGATATGCCGCTCTACCCTTTGGGGTAGAGGACAGGTCTGTGCTCATCCCACACCTTTGGTTGCACAAATTGCATAGTGTCATAAAGAGCCATCCCGGGTATTACCCATCCGCCAGGCAGCCCTACGGAAAATTGATGGAACATATATCATGGTCTATGGAGAAGGGACTACACATTTCAATCAAAATAAGGTTATGTTCCACAACTACCTATAAAACTAGTCATAATTGGTAAAAACTAGATGACAATGTTAAATAACCTAAAAGGACATGTTAAAAAATTAATTGGGAAAATATAAGGGGCGTGCTTCAAAAAAGTATAAAAAAAACCTTGGAGCTTATTGAAACGCCACTTTAAGTAGTTTTACAAACAGTTAAGTCATAAGATAGCTTTTGCTAACCGAACAGAGCTTTCAGTAAGCTCAAAAAATAAGATAGCTTATGGTTGTCAAACATGGCATGGCCCAAGTGATATCTCTTGAACTTCAATTTCTCAAGATATTCAAAGATAGCACGAATTATGAGCTTGAGAAATGCCAATTCCACCTTTGATAGTAAAGTAGTAAACAGAAACACCGAAGTACACAAGCAAAGGGAAATTGTGCTAGAATTAGAAAGCACTTTTAGCTCAAGAATTACTGACCATAACATCAAATTGTTCAGGCTTTGAAACGAGCTGCATGCAACAGTTGTCTACAATGATCTCATTGTATTTTATGCTGGGATACTTGCTTGCTATCTCCCGGCAAGATTCTAGAAACAGACCATCTGCAAGTTTCATAATATTTGCTTTGTGCACAGCTGTCACTGTCTTACGGTTGTTGAGATAAGCATACTCAAAGGCATATTTTGCAATACGCTCTGAGCAAAATTTTGTGATCACCTGCCAATTTATGAGTATCGAGAACTTGAGATCATATTCCCTGGAACTAAATTTTTCATCTCCAGTATTGAAAGATACAAAGTCCATCCTAACGGCAAAGCTTATGAAAACCATAACGAAAAAGTAGCAATTTTGTAGACAAACATCACATAATCGAAAATAAATGCTCAATATACACGTAGTGTCACCTGTCAACCCCTATCAAGCGAACTCCAATTATGAACAATGAGTCAAGTGATTAAGAAAGAGTAATACCTGTTTTCACACACACATGTGAGCTTACATGGATCTCTGGTTTTATGAAATACGTTATTGAAGAAAATTCATTGTGAGATATCCCATGGAACTCAAACGCAAAAGGCGAGACTAGATGGCTGGAGGTGTTGATTAAATAATATAGATACCTAAAAGGCAACTATTACTTCAAAAGTTACATTGAGAAGCCTGTAAAAAGAGCTTCCAAACAGTCTAGTAATGTTGAATCGGGTCTGGTTAATCATCTGAATTTACTGTTGTTCATCTACCACAAAGGTTATCAAAGATGAAAAAAAATTGGTTAATCTACCCTCATAGTAAATCCAAAGACCCCAGATACCCCTCATTTAATGTTTTGAATAAATTTTTGATTTAATCACATTGCAATATAGCAAAGGCTCTTACCTGTTTTAGTTAGAAAAAGAAAAAAGTGAATTCTCAAATTGACAATAATACCAATGGAAAAAAAAATTAAAAACATCATCTCGCTGAGTCCCTTTCCCCCTCAATCAGTTAGAACTTATAAAGCAATAGAACACGAATGTCTGTTCCAACCAATGACAACTCATTTTGTTCAGATACTAATAGTTCTAGTGGATCCACAAAATTCCACATTCACGCAATTAACTAGAGTGATTTGCTTTAAGAACCATGTGCCGATACTATAATTTGGGTTATGATGAATATTCATCAACAACCTCTATCACAATAAACATAAGCTATACGTTTGTTTAGTTGACATCGTTATTTGTCAACAAAAGTATGCTCTAGCAAAACGTGCAGGAATCTGATTGTTTGTTCCTTGAGACAAGTGGTCAGGGTTAAATCTAGTGTTTAATTGGGGTAGAATTAATGTGGCATAAGTTAGTTTAGTACTTGGATATCCCTAGGCTTCTGCAGTTGTGTGCTTGTTTCACCAACTCCCCAAATCGATCAAACCTGATTTTTTGACTTCTTGTCCAGCATAAATTCATCATTTCCAGGACATGAAAATATTCAAGTCGAATCCATTCATTTCCAACYGAAGGAAAACATAAATAGCTGAAAATTCCTATTAACGAGTTATTTGTAATTTTCAGGATTCCAGAGTAATCCCTGCAATTTGGATCAACAACAAGGTTGTTTACGTGACCTACTTCTAATAAAATATTATATTTCTTACGTAACTGAATGCAAACATATCTATCTCTGGACCAATAATGCCTCCTAGTATCTTATATCTAATACTTGGTACTACCTTTTTTCATGGTCAAACTCCACATCTTATACAGGCAAAAGTGTTTTATCAAATGAGCAACGATACATCAGTAGCCAGCATGAACTTCATGGGATAGCCTGATAGGAGAAAAGCATAGGAAATGCAACTTCTTCTTGTAACAAAAAGTGTCAGCTAATATGTAATGAAGGCACCTTCCGCGCACATCAATTCATAATTGAAAATTTATCAAGTAACATGCTCAAAAATGAGCATTTCAACCTAACCCCAAAACCCATAACCCTGCAAAACTCCACCTTTTTCTTTGTCTTTATAGGCTTTAGATAAAATAAAGGAAAGATGTTGCAGAGAACTAAAAATCTTTCCCTACACAATGTAACCCTCTCTAAGTAAAATATAAGATCAAATCCTCTTCGCATGAGGTAAGAAACATCCATTACATTTCTCCCAATAAGCAAAATCAATGTAGTAGCAATAAGAAGAGCCAGTGTGCTTTCCAAAATTTCTTACATATTTTGCAGTAGTATCCCCAAGTCCCATTGTACTCTAATAGGAGTCATATATGACTAGGCACACATGTTAAGCAAAACTTGACCATAAAAAAGAAGAAAGTATGTTGTTTTCCAATTGCATCCTCACAGAGGCCAACTTGAACAATGAAATAAAAAAAATCTGTGACTTAAGGGTGCGTTTGGTACACAGACCGGACTGAACTGGAATAGTTTATCTGGTGTTTGGTACGACAAGGACAGAACTTTCTTCTTTCAAAAAGTCAAGCTGATTTTCCTCCTGTACTAAAATTATTCCACACTGCTCTTGCAACATCATGATGTCATTTTGCAATTGTCTTCACCTAATGGTTACAAGGCACAACATTTGGCTTCTTTCCAAGATTTTTTGGATTTGTTTTTCATCCTCTAAGTAAACTATAGGTTTCATTTTAGAGTGCATAGGAAATAAAAGCAATCCAAAACTTCCTCCTTTCTTTGTTTTTGATTCAATTATATACAAGTAAAGATGCATGTAAATTTCCAAGTGTAAGTTCACTATGCCCTACTCCTAGCCAACTACTTCCCATGGAAATAAAATATCAAGCTACCAATGAAGTAAAGTAGGAGCTGCATTTCTTCTTTCAAGCATCTAATTACGAGTACATCAATCTATAATATTATTAGACCAAGAACTCTGCACAAGTTCTTTAAACTGGTCTAAGGACCTTCTGGTCCATTTAGAAAGCCAACTTCAAGAAAAGTTTTATCTTTCTTGCAGGCATTCAGGGCCTATCATCTCCTTCCCCTCAACTTCTTTCACAACCCAAAGGAAGTTTCCCCTAGCTTCCATGCTTAGAACTTGCTCAACCTTACAATTATTCAATAAAGACACAATTACCATATTGACGTGGTCAATCCCTTGATCCGTTTAACATTTGTTCCAATTTAGCAAATTCTTAGCTTTGTATTGCCCATAGCAAGTTAGCAACAATAACAAACACATCAACACATAAACGACAACATATATGAGAGTAAAAGTATCCAAAAATATCAAAATCAGAACATAATAAACGCAGAAGTAAAAATATGCCAAAGGCCACAACTTTTTACATAAATCAAAACTTGGATAGAGCTAAAGCAAACACTAGTTGGATCAGAGAATACCTTAAGACTTTCCACGACGCCAGGAACAACCTCGTGTTCAAGCCCTGCGTATTCCCCTTCAGTATTCTCTCTAATCACCACAATATCAACATTCTCGTGACGGGTTGGCAATCCGGGTAAATTAAAACAATTTACAAGCGAAGCGTACAGATCAAGCTCTTTCCTTAACTGCACGTTCAACGAACTAACTCCTCCACCCATGGGAGTATTCAAACCTCCTTTCAAACACACTTTATTCTTCTTAATTGACTCCACAACCTCGGTTGGAAAGCTCTTCATATCACCATGAACATCGAATTTTTCAAAGTAAATCGGGGCGTGCATCGCATCCATTACTTGCTCGACGGCTCCTGTCACGAGAGGACCGATCCCATCTCCGGGGATTAAGGTGACGGTGCGAGGAGCACCGTCTCCGGGTCGGGGCATGTAGGTGACAGATCGGGATAGGGGAGAGAGAGATGGAGATCGTTGGTGCAAGAGTTGCTTGAGGATGGGCAGGGTTCGTTTGGCCATTGGATGCAGATTTGCTTATTGGAATTGATTGAAGAGAGGAAATTAGGGTTTCGATGGAGGGAGGAATCGGGAGTGGAAAGAGCGGAGAATAATGGAGGAGGAGAGAGAGAGAGAGACACACAGAATAAAATTGACTTTTCAAAGACATGATATAATAATAATAATAATAAATAATTTTAAAATCAATTAAACAAAAACTATTTTCGACAAAATGATTGATAGATGTATAACTAAGGGCCTGTTTACTTGTGGCTTAATGAGCTTACCGGATAAATGGGCTTATTCGCACAGACATTTTAGGGTGTTTACTTCGGGCTTATTCGCCCAGACATGGGCTTAATCGCGCAGCCGGATACCCTGTTACATGACAATCTCGTTAAATTACTTTTTTTTTATAAATTAAATTGGTGATTTGTAATGTATAAAAATACTGTTAAATATTGATGTTTATGAATATTGAATATGAAAAATAGTAATACACGGGTTAAATCATATATCGTCTGAATTGATTCAATTGTTTGAGTGAAAATATATTAAAATCCAATTTCTTGATTCAAGCTTGGTTCAAAGTTACATCCAAGTCAAAAACCCACAAACTCAAATTGACAAACTCTTTGACTTTCTACTTTATTTTATAAAAAATCGATCTTCAGGACAACCTCAAGTCTTAATTGGTCATTGTCAACCACAATCTGCCTCGTTAAGTCACAAACGACAAGCAAAAGTCAACCAAGAATGCGAGAGGGGTTGATGAGTAGATTAAGATATTACGGGAACAAATCAATTCTAAGCTTTCGTATAATTATATAAATCTCGTTCCATGTCGAACTTGTTCAATATAAACCATCTTTTGTGATCTATAGAGTTGAAGAATGTATAAAAAAAAAAGATAATCGGATATTTTAAGATTTTAAAGTTTGAAAAATGAATTGTATTTGTCCATCGTGTATGCAAGAAAATATTAAGTTTATGGATCATGAAGCAAAACGCAAATTTTACTATTACCAAAAACTAGTCATTTTTGGATATTATTAAGGGAGCCCTGGAGAGATCTAGTCTATATATATATATATATAATAGGTTTGATGATTATTATGTCATTTAATTGCAGTATCACGTGTCAATATTTGTAATGTTATATTCACATACTTTTTGCCTTCTAAAAACCCTCTTTCAAGCTCAAAGGTAAATTGAGAGTGGTTCAACAACTTGGTTATACCTATACCTCTTTTCCCCAACACCTTCTCAAGATACAAGATCTACTATGAACCCAACATTTATTGATTTGCTTACAAGATCTACCATATGAACCCAACATTTATCGTAGAAGCAAAACCCTAATACCAAATTATTTACAGGAATTCATTTCACATTTGATATTTTTGACAACAAATAATATTATTTAATCTTTTACCATCTTCAACATATTTCCCCTGTTTCATGCTCTTGATTCCACAAGCAAACGGCAAACCAACAAGATTTGCGGGGTTGTTTACTACCCGACCAACTTTTACCTAGATGTTGGCGCAGTACAGGAAGGGAGGGATTGCTTTCTGTCTCCGTCACTGCAACGTTTACCAGTAAACAAACACTACACTTATATAACTTACTCGGTGTGGTTAGTGCTTACCCAATTTGTGTCTGTAAACAGCCCCTAGTAGCTCAACTTCCGCCCGAGGCTAATGCAAACCGTAACTTTCACATTCACAAAAAGAGATTTTGAACTGAACTTTACTTGAAAACCAACAAAGTTGAGCAGTTCAATGAACATGACAATATGAATCAACGAAAAAATTGAGATTTTAACCATATACCTAGATCAAGCTACAATAATGTCTCAAACATTAAGACCAACAAAATAATAAAGAGTAGCAGAAATCAACTCACAGGTCTAAAGATTTCAGGAGGCAATCTTTTATCGTATCCAAGGAAAGAACCAAATCGTCACCAAATGTAATTAACTCAGTGCTCTGACCTGATGACAATGAGCGATTTCATTCAAAGATCCATCTATTTGGTCACAAAAAAATATGCATTTCAGTGAGCAGGAGCAGGAGCAGCACTGGTACCACCCAAACCCATCTTTTGACCCAGCAGTGCAAGCTGATCAACAAACTCGCCACCTGTCAGAATTTCTGTCGTCCCATATATTATATGTTTAGGTGGCTGCTGCCGCTGTGCAAGCTCTTGCAAACTTCCATATTCCACATAGTTTCCACCCCCGATCATAAACACAATTGCTTCTTTAAATGGTCCTTTCATATGACCACTGCTCGCTGCCGAGCTTGACTTTGGAGCACGCGGGTCAAACATGAGATAAGATTCAATCTCAGGATTCGGCTTTCCTTCCATCAGGGCTTCAACTGTTCTTGCCATTGCCAATTGATGATCGCTAGACAACAAATTCTTCACACCTGCAGTTACAGCACTGATAGATTGACCATAAAGCTTCTCAGCCCAATCAACAATGTTGCTTCTGCTAGCAGAATTTGCTGATGCTAATGAAACATTTAATGATTTGATCTTTTTAACATACTGAAATGCACTAGTGTCCACTTCGGCTTCTCTCAATGCAGATTCGACCGTTTCCACTTCTAACTGAGGGATGGTTTCGGTTGAAATAAGGAACATGATAGCAAACCGAAGCTTATCCATTTTAGTACCCTTTCCTTTAAGAACAGCAAGAAGTTCACCACGGTCAATGCCACCTCTGACCATCATCTCATACTCTTTCTTTGCAAAAGAATCAAGAGATCTTTCCTTGATTTCTCCAAGCAAAACAGTTGCAATGTTTGTGTGCTTATCGATCACTTGCTTGCGCTCTGTCAACTCAGGTAGTGAGTTGACCGCATTCATCAAATGCTTTGTGTTTCCGATTAGATCTGTACCGTCGAATTCAGCGCCATCATTACCACCAGTTCGCCTGTTAACTTCATCTACATCTCTCTTATATTTGTTCAATTGTGTCTCGATCTCAACAGCAACTTCAGGGAACTCCAAAGATCCATTAGCTACCCAGAAAGGATCTAGCCTGTCCAATTCGAAGGACTTCATCCCACCTTTGTCTCCTTGTACACTCAGTCTATTCAGCCTTAATCCAAGCACATCATGAACAAGAGGCCGATATCTAAAGTCATGCTGGATGGCAACTGATAACTCGAGGTTTCGATCAAACAAACATAAAACTGGCCTCTGAAATGAACTGGTAAAGTTTCCACTTTCGGAAAACAAGTTATTCTTAACAAGCAAATGATCACGCAATCGCTGATCAAGCAATGATGCCACCATCTCAGCCGGACCACCACGTGGGCACCTAATGATTGGAACAACAGCGAGTGTAGCCAAAACACAAAACAGCCCACTGACGAGCTTCTCAATTATTGCTTCAATCTCATGGTCTGTTGCTTTGGGATCATTTAGTTGCACATAACAAGATTTATCTGCTAAAGAGAACAGATTATCCTCCAGGGTTACAAACTCCAAATACTGATCGTGTACCTTAGAAATTCGTTGAATAGATTCGGAGTTCAGGGTCCCTGATGCAAGATCTTCAAGAAGCGGGCGAGGTATTGATGATGAAAAATTTAGGTGGAAGTAATCGTATAGGGAATTAGACGCATCAGAGATGATCCTTTGAATGTTGTGTTGAGAAGGTTTTACAAAGTAAACAGCAGGAACATCAGCAACAGGCTTCCGGTTCTTATCAATAAGGAAGTATAGGGTTACACCATGCTTGCGGAGATCCTTTACATGGATCAGAGGAGACAATATGTCTTGACAGAACTTGTCATAGATCAGTATCTTGTAAACTTCCTCGTTTGCTGTTCCACTTGCATTTATGGGCTGATTCAGATTCAGCATCCGTGCTATGCACTCTGAAAGTTGAAAAAATTGAATCTCACTACTTGAGGATATGAAAACCTTCTATGAGCTAGCCATACATAGACATATACTTTAATGAATAAATGCACACACAATCACATGAAAGCAGAATCAGCATTCGTGTGATGCACCATGAAATTTTCAAATTTTAGAAACACCATCTTCCCCTCACGAACATGTCAAATCTAGTAAGCTTGACATAGCAACATCTTAGATGAGTGAGTCAGTTAATGACCAAAAAAACAAGGTATTTGGAACCTTTTCTCCAAAATCGTTTACCTTGCAAAAATCGCATTTTTAGCATTTTCGCAAGAACGATGCTTTGTTTGCATAGAAAAAACAAGTACAGTGGTTTGAAAAGTCGATCAATCCGTATTAAATAACTGCACATGCACACACATCTATTTAAGGGTCATATTCAATATTTAGGTTATGTAATCTGAACTTTTCTAGCTTAAAACATACAAGACATGGATTATGCATGTGTAAGCATTCAATTTACACATAGACAAACAATATTCCCAGTATTCCCATATACTTCAGTATACAGAAAGAAAAATTATTTAATTTCTCATATCATCCTAATCACAAACATAAAATTGGATGAAGTGGTGGTACATCTTCAAATTAATGAACAAAAGGGTGGTCAAGCTTACTCTTCAGAGTCTTTGGACGAGTAGTTCCATTTTATAGTTATACTCACAATTCTAGGACTTCCTAAAAAGTTGATACTGGCAATGGAGTCACAACCAGTCTGTGACAGGATACTCAGAACACAAAAGGTGAGGATTGTATATGGGACAACAAAAACGGCAACACCTGATTCAACACTAATACAGCAGAGTTCCAGAGGTCCATAAAACATTATTTAGCAGCCTGGCAGTGAGGATAAGGTGTACCGTAACTCCAGTTATAGGTGTGGCTTCAGTGAGCATGTCTTTTAATTGGGAAGGATATGTTTGGAAAAAACTTGGCTTTCTGCATAAAGCTCCCCCTAGAAGCTTACTATATAAATCACTTTATATATCATTAAGTCACTACCAAACAGTCATGTATAGTTGGCCGAATAAGCTGTGAGCCCATTAAGCTTATTAAGCTGCTAACAAACAGGCCCTTAGACCAGTGTCATTAAGATTCTTTGGTGGAAGGTGATCTTGGCCTCTCCACAATCCTCTGTTATGTGCTAAGGATAGGCTGGATATTTAGTTTTGTTTCTTATGCAATACATGAATCGTGTTCACTTAAAGATTGGTTAGGGGAATCATCTCTTTTTCAAATGCCCATTTGCTACTACATCTGGTCCAGGATCCTTAAAGAAATTGATGATGTCTGTAGAGTTATATCTTGCTGAAACTCACAATAGAGGTAAAACTGATGGTGCTACAAAATTCAGCCTGCGGGGATGATTTGTGTACATTACCTGGGAGGGTGGAGTTCCTATGCTGTTTATTGTAATTCTTATTAAAATTTTGCTTCCATAATACATCGAATTCACCGATAAGAAATATAAAATGGAAAATCAGATTTAGTGTAAGGCTGTAAGCACTATGCAGATCTCAACATGCGATTAAAATCGTTTAATTATAAGAACATGAATTGATTTCCTTTCATATACTTGTTATCAGGACCCGTGAAATTCGATATAATACCTAAAAACACGTTGATTTTCAGATTACGATTCAAAATCGACACCGTTTTTGATAATTATATCGAAATATACATCATTTACCTAATTTACTTGAGATCCGTTTTATATAACATATTGATGGCGCTAGACATTCAGGAAAAACATGAGTACTCTCGATCGGAGCTCAAATACATGAAATTGAGACATAGGAGGAGAGAAATCAATCACCTGTCTGTCTTTGACGAAGATTAAGCGCCATTGACGAAATCAAGAGAGCAAGGAAGCAAGATCGAACAATCGGATCTAGAGAAAAGGTATTCGGTTTTGGTGAAAGGCTCCGGAGAAACAGACCCCTGCAAAATGTTGCGTCAAGGAGAGTAACAAAATTTGTACTTCATGCAGAAAAATGTATACTATAGACTGTTTGGTATTTATTGTATTTCAGTCCCTGTGACAATATAAACAACAATTTCAGTCCCTGTGACAATCTAAACAACAATTTTAGTCCCTGAAAATCATATTGGACGTGTCATGGTTCATTTTCGTTGATTTGAGTCCATCATCGTGGTTCATTTTGGGTTTTTACATCACTTCCATTGATTTAAATAAAATAAAATTAACAAAGAATAATTTTGAATTTTAAAATTGAAGTATTTATAGCAATCTACTTTCATAAATTTTTTTATTATAGCATTATATTTTAAGTTTTTCTTATTACAACAATGTACTTTCAAACTATTTTTTATTAGTACATTGTACTTTGAAAAGTTTACCCACTATAGCATTGGGTAACCTTTTGATTTAAATTTACCCATTATAGTAGGTTTATATGCCACCTCATTGTCCACGTAGGCTGTCCACATGTACTATAGTGATATACTTTCAAAATTATTTTATTATAGCATCTGCTAGTTCTTATTAAACAATGTATTTTCAATTTTAATATTTAGATTTTTTACATGTTATTTAATAAATGTATTAAATGAATTAAAAAAATTATAAATTATTCGTTAATATACCAATATCAATAAAACTAGTAGAACACAACTTATCTCGCTAATATTTTTCAAAAAACTTTTACTTGACGTATAAAAAACTTATCTCGCTAATAAAACTAGTAGAACACAACTTTTTATTTGAAAAAAAAAGAAAAATAAGAATTGTTTTTTTGACAAAAAAATATTATCTTTTAAGAAATATATTATATTTGTTCAAAAACTTTTTACTTGACATATAAATATATTAAATTAATTAAATTTTTTTGAATTATTTATTAATATAACAATATTAAAAAATTATATAATACAATTTATTTCATTAACATTTTAGAGAGAACTTCAAAATATATGTATTTTTTTGAACAACATAAAATAAGAAGTGTTACCTTTTTTACAAACATAATATATCTCGAAAATAATGTAACATTAATTTAAGAAATATTTTACTCTAAAATATTTAATTTGCATACAACTTAATAAGAAAAAGTCAAAATAAAAAAATAAATGTTTTTTTTAAATCATAGCAACGAAAAATGAAAATCATTAATAATAATTTGAAATAGGTTTTTGTTTTTATTTTTATTTTAATCAAGTCATCAAAATGATGTTTCATCCACATCACCTCATTAAATCCACACAAGCAAAAAAAAGTCAAGGGATTAACCCGTTTAAAAGGTATCAGGTTACTCATTGCTATAATGGGTAGATTTTTTAAAGTGCGATGCCTTAATAAAAATAATTTGAAAGTACATTGTTATAATAAATAAAAACAAAAGTAGAATGTTATAATAAGAAAATTTATGAAAGTAAGTTGTTATTTCATGCATTTAACCCTTATTTAAATAAGTTGAAAATCTCAACCCAACCTGCTAATTTTGGGTTGGGTTGGGTTTGGATTGGGTTTTCGAGTTGGGTCATTTTTTGCCACCTCTAGTCTGGGGGCTGTCTCGGGGTTGTAAAAGTTCTATTTCAAGTTCTAACTATGTATATAATATTTGAAAGTATGTTTTATGAATGCTAAAGAGTGTTCAAAGTATCAAATGACTAAAGATAAGGTATAAAACTCACTTGAACCTGTAAAAAAAATAAGAGTTATCTTTATAATATTTAATAATTTATATTCATAGAGCAAACATAAAAAAAGTTACGTAAAAAGGGGTCGTTGATCATCGATGTATATGTTTTAACTTGCATAGGAACAATATGCTTAGAGGTTTCAAAGGTTGAAACACTAGGGGAGCATTGAGATTCTAGGACAAACATATACAAAGTATGTGTAAGAATTTGATTGCATAATGAGATTGTGCCAAATTTAGCCTTTATATGTTTATATATTACATAAAGGTATGTCCGCTTATTTAATTACTAAATAACTAACTTTGGACATATGTAACAGTTATGTCATCTTCTTTCAAAACAAATCTTAGTATCAACACTGATGAGGACCCCTATGACACAGATGTGGAGAAACTTGAATCCCCCCATCACAGGTTAATGTCATTAGTGATGATGAAATAGAAGAAGATAATGACAAGAAAAATCGTTAAAAATAATGTCATCACTTTTTTCTCACCGGAACTCAACACATGGTATATAGACCTAAAAATCATTAAAATAAAGAAAAATGTTAAAAAAGATCAATTTACCCTCGTACTTAACAAATAAAATAAACAGACGCTAGTGTGAGGTACCAAATCAAAGACAAACTACATCGCTGGAGGGTTTGTTAATATAAAAAGATAAAGGACCAATTCCGTAACAAATGGCATACCTTAGGAACCAAATCCATAATTTACTCTAGTTTCTATTAATGTAATTAATACTTAATATTATTTTAGAATGGGAAATTGGCTCAAATGACCATTTCCCTCGTTCAAATTGACTTCCTAACCATTTCTATTCCAAGTTGACCCAAATGTCATTACATCCGCAATACATATTGCAGACCTAGCTAAAAGACAAAAAAATGTCAAATTCAAGCAGTTTATCATCGCAATTAGACCTAGTCGTCATAATTGTATATCTAACTGTCGCAATTGCATATTTCTGTTGAATTATCTTTAGCTAGGTTCGCAGTGGATATTGCGAAAGTAGTGACATTTGGATCGATCAGAGAGAGAAAAGGTTAGGAAGCCGATTTGAATTAAATAAAGGGCAAAATGCACAAAATAGCAATCTACTTTCATAAATTTCTTTATTAAAGCAATGTACTTTCAGTTTTTCTTATTACAGCAATGTACTTTCAGTTTTTCTTATTACAGCAATGTACTTTCAAACTATTT